GCTCCCCCCACCGCTGCCATCAAGGCCTATAAGCCGCCTTACCCCTAGATTCCACCGGGTCCGTCTGCGCCGCGTTACGGCCACGGCCGCGTTACGGCCACGGCTGCGCCGCGGCGTTCGCAAAGATCGCGGCCACTCTAGTCAATGGGTGCTATTCCACCAGACGCGCCGCATTACGGCTCAGAAGCGTCCCAGAAGCGCCTCGACGCTGGGCTCCGCTCAAAATAGGATTCAAGTCTATTTTTCGACGCGACGCGTTGCAGAGGCGCCGGTCAGGAAGTGGACCGGTCAGAGCATCCGGCCCATCCCCAAAATAAACTAATTGTGCAGACCCTATCCCTCCGTAGTCTTTCAAGTAGGAGGAGAAATGCCAGCGTTCTCCTCCGGTTTACAGGCACTGTGTAAATTATATATATAGAATAATTATGATGATGAATGCATTTTTTTACCACTAAAATACAGCAACACATCTTTGATTCATGTCGTTTATAACTGGAATATTACAATTATTATTAACTTTGTCTGTACAAAGTAGCCTGTTCAAGAAATATGCCCAAATCAACAAAAACTGCGAGCCGGCAGGCAAGACGCTCCGCTTCTGAAATGCGCCCGGTAGGGTATGACGCTGGAGGAGGCCGGACCAAAACCGCGGCGCAGCCGTGACGCGACGCAGATGGACCCGGTGGAATTGAGGGGTTAGGCAGGGGTTTTACGGCCCGGGGTTTTACGGCCCGGGGTTTTACGGCCCGGGGTTTTACGGCCCGGGGTTTTACGGCCCGGTGCTTCCGGCGCAGCCGGCCTTCGTCTCGCCCCCGTTGCCAGACATCTGGCAGTGTGTGGAGGCGACATGGCGGCGTCCATTGAAGGCGAAGGCCTCAATAGCATCCATGTCGGGCATTGTCCGTGCGCACTCCACGCGAGCTGTGGCTGCGTCAACAGCTTTATTCAACGGTGTGAGTGTGGAGGATATATGCACGGCGGCGTCTTGGTCAACGCCAGGCCCCTTCATAACGTTTTATCTCTTGGATATGTCTGGCTCTTTCTCAGCGTCTGTGCTTGCTGGGGCAACACAGGATTGGTGAGGAGGTAAAAGCGCTTACATTTCTCCGGACCCCTGGAGGGTCGTGAGGTGACGTAATGCGCTCTGGGCCCTTACAGGGCTGGAGGGCTCCCCTCGCCTGCCTGGGGACAGGAGGGGGAGAGCCCTCCATACTATAGTCTGTACACACTCTGCACAGGGTCAATGTTTGAGTGTGGGGACATAGGGAGTGAACCCATACAGAGCTGCGGACTTTCCCCGTCTGCCTATAGGCGGACACAGGGGAGCCCTCAGCACTGTTTTTGAGCACACTTTTTTGCGAGGCAAGCGCGTCAGGGTGTGCTCTGTCGGCCACAGCCCAGACTTCTCCACGGTTACAACCGGGGGAGAGGTGAGTGAGGCGCAGTAGCTGCTAAAGCCGGTCAGGGACAGTGAGGTGGAACAGTGTGCTGGACGACAGTGCGTGTATACATCGGGGCTCCGCCCACTGTACCCATAGAGTCCAGTAGAGGGCGGAGCCTGTGAGAGATATAATGCCGGGTTACGTATTGTAACCCTTGTTATATTAACACAGGCGGAGCCCTCTACCTTGGGGCACTGTCTGTCCTATACCGCTCGCTGAAGAGTGGTGTAGGATGATGGTCAGGAGGCGAGGCCTCCTTTCATACGGAAGTGAGATGCGCGCGCATTCAGGTAGGCCCGCTCCGGGGCCGGCTACGTCTATAGAAATCTCAGTAGGTGAATGCTTGCATGATAAGGTAGTACCCATAGAGTACAGTAGAGGGCTCCGCCTGTGTTAATATAACAAGGGTTACAATACGTAACCCGGCGTTTTCGCTCAGTTTTCCATTAATCTGCTTAGAAATCATAGGGAAAGCAAATAACAGAAGCTGTCTGAGAGTTTTTTTTCAGGATCGTAGCTATACGGTGATATCGGTCTTTACATCAATGGGAACATTGCAATTGTGAACGGCTAAAGGCCAAACTTGGCATAATTTAAATGGTGCAACTTCCCAAAAAAAAAGCTAAAAATTCAGATCTAGTTCACCTTAGATATTTCAATCATTTGTAAGTTCAAAGGTCCACTGGTAAACCCACTCTGATAAGTGTTAACGTATGATTCTGGCTGATTAGACCTCCTCTCTGGACTGTGTAGGCAGCTTGAAAAAGGAAAGATTAAGCCTTTATCACACTTATTGGTACGTGGGTTCTAGTGACCTTGCATAAATCTCAGCATTAATCCATCTACCTTCAACCTGAGCGGAGGTCTAATCAGTCAAACCTGTGTGGGTGTGCAAAGCCTTTAATTGTCTAAAAACAGAGTATTCTATAGTTATACTGCATTGCTGCAAAGCACAAGGTATATCATTCAACTTTGATGACCTCCATCTCAAAGTCAGCAAAACCAAGGAGCTGATTGTGGATTACAGGAAGCAGCAGAGAGAGGGTCACGCCCCCATCGCCATCAATGGGACTACGAGTCAGCAGCTTCAGGTTCCTCGGTGTCCACATCACTGAGGACCTGACATGGACTCTTCACACCACCACCATCACCAAAAAAGCTCGACATCGGCTTTTCTTCCTCCGCAGGCTGAGGAGGTTCAACATGGACTCCAGGATACTCTGCAACTTCGACAGGTGCACCATAGAGAGGATCCTGACCTTCTACAGGTGCACCATAGAGAGCATCCTGACCTTCTACAGGTGCACCATAGAGAGTATCCTGACTGGCTGCATCACGGCCTGGTACGGCAGCTGCACCGCCCTCAACCGTAAGACTCTACAGAGGGAGGTGAAAACTTCACAGCACATCAGCAGGACGGAGCTGCCATCCATGGAGGACCTTTACTCCACCAGACTCAGGGACAGTTTCATCCCACAGGCAATAAGAATATTTAACACCTGAGCTTGCACTATTTTTATTTGTATTGTTTTTTATATACATTTTTTTTATGGCTTGTAAATTGCACTTTTGAGTAACCTGCGTAATGTATGAAAATCTAAGTATTTCATACATTACATAATTACACCGTAGTTTTGTATATGTATAACATGACAATAAACCTTTGAACTGAAAAAATCTTGAAATGAAGCAACGAAAATTCCCTGTCAGACACAATGCATCAAATGTACTGCCTTTTCATCCAGTGGACTAGATGTTGCATCAGGGGTACCCCAAGGCTCTGCTTTGGGCCCCACTTTAGTTTACCGTCTCTGGTAAGAACATTGGTAACATGTTCGCAGCACAGTTACATTTCTACGCCGATGATACTATCCTTTACTGCTGTGGTGCAATCCTTGTTCAATCCTGATATATCTCCAGTCTGTGTTTCATACTTTAGAACAATGGTTTTTTCCTTTGAAACTTAAGAAACTAAATTGATTACTTGTATATGCCACGAAGATAGCAGCTTATCTTCCTAACATTGTCACTTTTGAGGGCAGATCTGATTAGTTTCAAATCAGATGTAATAAGATATTTAATTTCCTTTAAAATTATTGTTTAAATGTTGATGCCTTACATAACTTGACTATAGTGATATGTTGCACATACAAGCCTCGGGGTACGTTTTGCCAGAGTGCTCTGAACTTTGTGCCAGGTTGCACATCTCCTTCTCACCAATGCCCCCTGTTGGAGAAATACTGTTTTCTCCACTCTTTGGGTTGTTTTAATGCAGTGATATCATGTGTGGCTCTGAGACTGTATGACCTTGCAGCTCCTCTGTTGATAACAGAAGACAGGTTGTTGTTCTATTATGAGGAGGAGTCTCCTATATTATCTCACATTGTTGGGAGTCCAGAAGTCACAGATGACCCATCCAGTTGTCCCATCTTCCCTTCACCTACGGCTGACATTCCGACACCCGCAGCCACCGTCCTTTTACGGCTTTACTCTCCGTGTTTTGGGACTATATAAGCCTGACGTTTTTTGCTGTTCCTTTGAGCAACATACCTCATGTGTGTGAGTTAACCCATATCCTTTGTATGTGATTTAACTCTGCTCCTTCTTGCAAGAATAAACTAGAACCTGATCATTGATTCTCAACCTGGTGTCAAGTGATATTTTTCCAACACCCCCTTTACGTTTTTTTATCTTATGAGATCAGTTGCATTCATTGACCTTGTGCCTCAATAACTGGTATATGTTTATTTAGGTTTAGCATTACGAGTAAGCCAAGCAGCCAAATATTCACAAAGCCCCCATATGTGATGTGTGGGAATAAACATCAAAGTAATCAAACCACGCCAGAGACAAAACAGATCAAAGTCATATCTGACATCACATTTGTCTTCATGCTTCTTAAACACATGCAGTTTGAGCTCTGCCTCTACCCCCTGCTGTGCCGTCTCATGACATTTTAACATTCAACAAACTCCCATGATCGTTACTCCCATGAAGTCTCTGAAGTTTTGAAGTGTTGATTTGGCAAGATCCGGCATATAGATTTAATGTAACTACATTATTTCACAGACGTAACAAGTACATTGCATTAAATGTAATGTGATAAAACATGTAGAACCGATTGATCCTTTAATATCTGCTCATGAAAGCTACAGGGCAATGTCTAATATGAACAGGAATATGGATTTAAATGTGATTTACCTACAATAAAGACTTCACCCTTATCCTTTAGGGGTTTGCACAGCGAAACTATTTTTTGAAAACCGAGCAAAAACAATTGTGAAATACTGTTAAAGCCATAAGTCCCAGCAATGGGAAATGAGCCTGCGGTCCTTGTAATCCCCTGCAGATATACTATAGTCATTTGTGCAATTGTGCCTTGACTTCTCTTTCCCTCTAGAATCATGTTTTAAGCCTGAGAAGAGTGTGGATGTGTTTGGTATAAAGACCAGATTAAAAACATTACAAGAACAATGTATTTGAATCCTTGCAGCTTTTATGCATTCTGCAGATAGGAAGAGAGGGAGGGGCACATCTGTTTCTGTACACATGCAATACCTCGTTCTGCTCCGGCTTCATCCCTCCTCTCTATCAGCAGGTAGCGAGGACTCTCGGGCAGGAAGGGCATCACACACAGCTGCAGAACCGCCGGCAATGCGAGGAAGGTAAACAGGTAGCTCCATCTATTTTCCTGAAGTAAAAAAAGAAATCAACAAAAGAACTACATCAAAGCTTCAATCTTTTAATTCATGCCATATATACAAAGACGTGAGATAAAACTAATCTGTGGAAAAAGTGAATGCAGATGATACTCCCGTTAAGAATTTATGCAAGCAGTCATTATTATAAGGTTAAATGCATCATTACAATGAGTTACCATTTCAGTAGGAAAAATGCTTAGGCTTAAGGCAATCCTCTAAATGTGAAAGCATAGTATAAGACTTACGGTATGAAAGTGATGCAATTCATATGTTTCTTTAAAGCAAGAAAGATTTGAATGTTTGTATGAGTGAGAGGCTGCATTAAATAAGCAATAACAGTATGTTAGGCTCTGTATACAAATGGTGAATATGTGAAATGTCCCCATGAATAATAACTGAATAAATAGATATAAGCTGTATTGTGGTTGAATCTTCAAGAACAGGAATGGAGGAAACTGTGTCTTTTGTTATGGAGACTACACAGATGCAGAGAACATAAATGCATTTGTAGGGACGCACTTACTCATATACGGTCTCAGTTTCATTCCACTGTGATTTCTTCGCAAAAAGGCCTCTGAGGTTTAATATTTATCAAAGCCTGCTAATTGTATGGTAGCTGTTATCAAACACGGTATTTTCGCTCAATCGTCTCCAGGACCAGCAACAGCAAAGAGCACCTGATTAATTTGAGATTACCTTGGTCTTTAAATCATCCCTTCTGGAAAAATCTAGTTACCGGATTTATACTCAAAAAAGTTATAGTTTGAAAAAGCAAATCCTATATAATACAAAGTATTTTTTGAATGCATTGAAAAGATCTAACAGATTAGTCATCATCTTCCTGAGCCTATTATTAACACTAGAAGAGGTTCTGTGTCATTGACAGTTACCACCATCATGGACCATAATGGATCTCTGACTCATGCACTGCAAAAACAAACAGGCTTTGTGTATACAGCATTGCACTCAGGAAATAGGACAGGAGGCACAGCTTTATGTACTGGGCAGATCTAGTCTTCATGAACTCACTTGAGCAAACAAGACAGAGATGTTTGTAGTTATGGAGAGAATTTGGCAAAGAGGTGCCCTTTTAGGGAGAAAAACTCAACTCCTATGAAGTCTGATGATGAACAAATTGCCCAACAAAACTGGTGAAAACAAAACTGAAAAGGTCAGTCTGTAAAACTTTAAAATGAAAACGGTAATAAACTTCTCTTCAATTCAGCCTGGGCTGCAAATGAACCCTACACTCACAATGTATAATATCAATTCAGTTTAGGGAGTAAAGTATGTGCTATACTATACGGTACAATGCAACTTCCAAAAACAAAAAGTGAAATGCCCAACAGATTTAAAATAACATAACATCTGTTTGCAACTTACATACATCATATATACCAATATTCCAATTACTGTATACTGTATAGACTATTCTGCTCAGTTTCTATCATATTCTGTTTCTATTCTATTCTATTCTATTTTATTTTATTTACTTGTACTATTTTATCTGTTTATTGTGTTGCACTGTTGGAGGAGCCTGTGACCTAAGATTTTCATTGTCATATCTACACCGTAGCTATGCACACATGACAATAAAAGCCTTGAAAACTTGAGTACTGTAAGAATATGTAGTTGGTCAATTCAGGGCAACAGAAAAACTGTAAACATTGGTGTAAAGATGATATGGCAAACGTCAACAGTTGCTTATATAGACATCCGGCCAACATTATTACAGTAGTCCTAGTCTCCACCATATCCACAGGGAAATATTTAGATTTTCAGCAAGCGAAGCCAGCATTGAAAAGGTAAAACTGAAGTTTCTTAAATTGCCACCTGAGGATGGCTCCACAAATAGTCAATCCCCTTGGACCCCCAAGTTAAATTGCCCAACTTTAGAGCATAAATTAACATGTTTACAGCCTGGAGAAAAAAACCGCTTTTGATCTCTGTAGCTAATATCACAGACAATATTGCGTCGAGGTGCAGAGGCATTCCCTAAAACTTCAGGAAATGAATATAAATGTGACGGGAGAAACCCTGTTTGGGATTTATTATCCCACTCTGCCAGTGCTGTGTGTGTTTTCAAACACACAACTTCAGACTATAAAAAGAAGACCGCATGAATTGACACGGAGGAGAAAGAGAAAAATATCATTCTTTGTTGGAAAGTCTGGGCTTTAATAAATGAGCGCAAGTTATCACCAACTCTCCTAGAACGCAAGTCATTTTACTGTAACTGTGTGCGGCTATTAGCGCTGATCTTTGTGAATTTAAATGCCTTTGCAGTGAGGCACATTTGCATTTTGCACCAAATGTAATTACGTTACCTCATTTAAATATGTTGTTCAAATAAACATGAGCAATGAGCACTATTTGCTCGGTGGTGGCAGCACAGTTGGGGGTGCATTTCCCTCTGCTGGTGCCCTGAGAAACACAATATACATTTTCAAATGTATTATTAATGAAGAAATATGTGCCGTATGTTCACATGAAGTGTACATCCAGTAAAACGAAGGATAGGTCCTAAGTAACATATCCAACAATTAATGCGGACCTCTACCTCCATGTTGATCTTTAAAAAATAAAAGGTCTTAAAAAATACTTTCAGAATAGGATTAACTATTAAAAATTAGACAAATTAATTAGATGAACTATAGTTAGTGGGCGAATCTTCAAATATTCATTTTGAAGTTGCAACTTTAGAGACATTTCTTGGAATATGAGAAAATGTAAGCAGTTGGCATTTTTGCCTCTGCCTGATAATGAGTTTGTCTACACTGGTAACAGTCCAACTTCTCTATGATCCTCTCTGCACTAAATCCTTGCTGAGCTGAGTAAATGTAAGCCCGCTGAACTGATCTGTGGGTCGTCTTATCCCAGCTAGACATGAGAGTGGGCGTTTAGATCCGACCCCTCCGCGGCTGCTGTGACACACAAATAATTGAGTTTTCTGAGATCAATGCTTGCATTACAGCACTGTACTATACGCATCTTATAAAAAAACAATATTTTTACTTCAAATTGTGTGGTATGAATGATATACAGCACATTATCACTGGCTGCTGACAGTGTTTTTCTTCTCACAAACACATATCCCTACAATAAAAAGGGTCTTTACCAAGGGAGGTTTAGATAATGTAGATGTAAATATATTGACAGTTACTGGTGTAAACTAAATCCAACATTCAATGCTAATCAGGTTAGACTTATCTGCTTCACACACACACAATTTCAGGCTTGTTTTACAGTATAGACAACACGCACCAATGTGTGCACCAATAGCTGTTTTCTAACTGGGCCAGGCTGTTTTGGCCAGGCTGTGTCGCCCCCCTCGACCCTGATCCCCTGTGAAAAAATAAATCACAGCTTTGACTTCGAGTGATATTTGTCTACAGTAAACTAAACAAAGCAGAAATATGTTTTTTATTGCTGTAATCAACAAGCCTCACAGTTTTTCAGTTTTTCTGATCTCCTCTGAAAGGCTACAGGATGTCATCCTGCGAGGCAGAGGAATAAACACATCTTCTTTGTCTCGAGCAGGAGAGAAACAGAGGAGAATGTACATGAAGCCAGAGAGGGGCTAGTGTGAAACAGTAGCCCCTCTCTGATAGAGGTAATGAAAATGTCAGGTAGCCCACATCTGTGACGTATCCAATTATACAAGCCAATACTATCTGTTAATTACTTTACCTGGACAAACCATTCCCCAGTTGAGACGTGAACTTGGTCTATACAAATATTTACTTAGTCTTACAGGCAGCAACAATTAATAACAAATCTTTAATTCCACAGTGGGCGGTGAAATTAAAGTGGCTGTCACTCACTGTAAGCTGGTTAGATAATAATGTGTGATGGATTACAAGGTGCATTACAGCAAAAAAGAGATCAACTAATATTTAAACGTTCTCTTATCCTGGAAGAGCAATTAAGTGGTGAAGGCAGTATATATATATATATATATATATATATATATATATATATATATATATATATATATATATATATATATATATATAATATCTGTATGTATATTATATATATATATATATATATATATATATATATATATATATATATATATATATATATATATATATATATATATATATATAACTTTTATTTTCTTCTTCCTACTCCAACTGGAAATACAAAATATAAAAATGGCATCTCCACATTCTGCTTTCCCTTTTAAATGTTTGGGCTCAGTAGTCTGCCAATTATGTGAGGCTACATATTTTCCTGGCGTTAAAAAGATAAACACAACAACCCTTCCACATTAAATTCTCAATAAATCAAAATCTTGTTCGTAAAAAACCTTAGGTCACCAGAATCTCAGGCTATACGACATAGGTGTAAATCTGTAGATCTGCCAGGATCTGAAGAAGAGCCCATCATCCCTCTGGCTTTAGCTGTTTGTAATGAATGCCAGCTCCTCTCTAAGCCTATTTTCCTGGTCTGTCAGAAGAGCAAACTGAAACCTGGCCCCTGCAGTTGTGTGCTATCCTAATCTGAGAATATTAAAGGGAACATATCATACTCATTTTCAGGTTCATACATATACTTTGGGGTTCCTACTAGAACATGTTAACATGCCATACTGTGGAAAAAGGATGTGTTTTTTTCATACTGTCTGTCTGAATATACCTGTATATTATACTCTGTCTAAAATGCTCAGTTTCAGTGCCTGTCTCTTTAAGCCCCTTTCTTTCAAAAGGCCAATCTGCTCTGATTGACTTAAACGAGAGATACGATAAGCCAAATCTAAATAGCTTGTCGACTCTGTTTTAATGACCGAGTCAGCCCACAAATAACTGACTTTTTTCTGAAAATGTACTGAATCATGCACGCTGTACCCACTACAGCACCCTGTTTCAAGTTATTTGGTAAGCTACTCGCTCTAAATTTACATTTACAGTGTTTGGTATTAATCGTTATAGCTAACTCTTGCCAAGAAAGTGAATACCCTAACCCTGTTGAACTTAACCTTTCATATAATGTGACTACACAGAACATACAGTATGACATAGATTTTTCCTATTTTTCAAATGACATTTTAACAATACCATAATGTTTATCAGATTTGACTGAAATAAAGTCAATGAGCTTGTTATCAAAATTCCCAAACACAGGCCTTGCAAAGTACTTTTTTAATAGAGAGTTTTAAAACACTGAATGCTTGGCTACTGTTGTTCCTTTCCTGTCAGTGCAAGTACATAATACTGTGTACTTTATTGTTGAGGAATTGAAAAGATTCACATGCAGTACACACACAGTAGTTACTGTAATAGGTAACAAAAAATACCATATCACTCCGGTAATAGCCTGAAAACCATCTAAAATTAATTGCACTACAGGGACCTCACATATAAGAACCATCAATTTTTTCTTCTTCTTCCCATTAACACAGTCCTCTGAAGCCAAGGCTGGTCTGATGGAGGATTTAGAGTATAGTTAAAGGCACATTATGGCCATTGAGCAATGTTTCTCGAGTAAGCTGCATTTTAAGCATGTGGATGCATTCAGTGTCTCAGGGGGAGTCCGGTGACAGACCGGCTATAAGCCTGTTCTTGATGTAAGGCTGGAATAAACATTACATTACATTACATGTTACTTGTTAGACGCTTTTATCCAAAGCGACTTACATGTTTGCAATACTGTGGGCAATCCCCACAGGAGCAATTTGGGGTGAAGTGTCTTGCCCAGGGACACAACGACATGCTGACTGCTTGAACCTGATCCCAACACCAAGGCTCTATCCACTGCACCACACACCTCCCTCCCTCCAAACATGTTTCCCTATACTGGGAGAAGGTCGGTGGCTAAGCATGAAGGTTAGAATAATTATCATTTGTCAAAGCTTATCACCATTTTGCACCCCCACAAAGAGTGTCATCTTAGAACGGCTCCCATTAGACAGAAGCCTCCACGGAGAGAAAAGTGTTTGAGTCTCATAACCAAAGGCTAGCAAATATCAAGGTGCCATTGTAGTCGTTTATGTCCGAGATGCTCGTGGTCCTGAAGGTTGTGGCAGAGGTGACAAGAATACATAACAGAGGTGGCGTGAAGACTCCATATGATATTTATAAAGGTGGTCTGCAGGTCGGAATGATGGATAGGACGGACGAACCAATACTCATAAATAAAGAATGAGTACCGGCTTTGCTGTAAACTCGGACAATATGCCTTTGTGCAAATGTCAGCAAAAAGTGACAAAGACGAAAAATAGGAGTGGAGAATTTGGTCAAATCCTCTCCGATTTGACCAGATCAAAGGATTTGACCTTTAAAAACAATACAACTATAGCTGAACGAGGGGATTTAAAGCTTAAGAGGGCAAGGATTGCTTTGAAAATATACATTGATTAAGGGAGGAATAAATTGAATTACTTTCAAGTTTCGAGGCAGAAAATGCCAATCGTGTTTAATCCAAAATCATGGAAAAGAAGTGAGGAAGCTGACAGAAAACAGATTATTCACATTCCACATGCCTTCATGCAGTACGGCATGTGCCTATAGAAACTATTCAAAAGCAGCTTGATCCAAAATTCACTGGCTTAGAAATATGTGTGCTGCTCTTAAATAATCTTTGTTGGATTGAAAACTGTTGGTCCGTCCGTCCATCCGTCCGTCCGTCCGTCAGTCAGTAACTTTGTTTGTTCTTTAAAGAAAGCTCAGGGTCTGCATTTTTCTATCTATACATTGTCAATTGAGGGAGGAGATGCAGAAGGAGCCAATTTGGGGAAGGAGGCATGTTACCAAGCTTTACCTTTAGGAAAACAATGGCCCACAGCAGAGAGGGGTTTTACATCTGATAATATCAAGTAAGCTTGAGTGCAATGACATCATTTGAGAATGTTGGCTTAAAACAAATAAAGAAAAGATAAAAAGCTGCTTAATATTCTCATCGATTTTGATTCCTTTGCTCCTCTCTAATCAGTGTTCCTGTGTCTGTCTCACGTGACTCAAACTCATACAACTGTAATGAGCAAACAGCTGGATGCAATACTGTGTTAGGCACATATGTTACGGTACAAAGTATAAGCCCCAAACAAAACAGGATATGGATGCAGTCTGTTTGCATTTGATAAAATACTTCAAAGCCATGATTTCGTGGACAAACACAGAAGCTGTTCAGTACCATGCCATCTTGCCTCATTAATGTAAAAAACATTTGCATAATTCAGTCAAGAACCGTGATTACAGTGGCATTCACTCTTCTCAAACAAAATGGGGTATTTAAAAGTCTGTCATTGTGTATACAAAAATCTCAAAAGGCAGTTTTACCAATCTAACTGAGGGGATTTGAGACTTTATACACCAGAAACAAGTAATTAAAGACCTCCAGCAAACCAATCGATGTGATGTTGAGCGTTGTGTTAACTGGCACAATGACTGAATGTTGTGTAGCCATATTAGCCAGTACAACAATAAAAGTCATGTCATTTTAACCATCACAAAATGGTTATGGCTACAAATATTATTGTGAATTGTGTCAGAGCTCTGGCTTGCCCTTTGGGTGAAACCTCGGGTTCAGTGTCTTGCTTATTGACAGTTCATCACACAATCAGTAGCAGCCAAGGATCGAACTGCCATTTTTTTTTACTATAGGACGTAAATACATTGAGCCATTAATCGTTTAATACACAGACATGAGTAGGCAGTGAGCTTGTGTGAACAGACAATGCCAAGAATGGATATCATGGTCCTTCTGCTAACAAATGAATGTGGCTTTCAAAGCACAAGTGCCTGAGGCTAATGTCTCTTTTAAACCCTTGAAAATAAACTGGATATCAAATGAATTATAAGGTGTATCAAGCACGACTGGATCCCTGTCATGGAAGTGTCTCAGCAGTAGGCCGAGTCAGCTGTGGGCAGTGAGGTGAGAAGGGAGGGTAAGTGGAAAACATTCCCTCTAGGGTAAACAAGGTGTGATTGAGAATTCCTGCTGCTATCCTAGTGAAACACGGGACAGATAGAGCCAGTCAAATGCTGTGCAGGGTAAAACGTGACTATATTACCCAAGTGGCTTGAGACGACACATGCTATAGATCTGCTCAGAAGAAAAGTGAGGGGAAATCATTAAGTGCATGTGGAGACGTTTGTCTTTTTTTTCCTCCGGTACGATCTCACACTTGGGTGTCAAGACTAAATGAAACGATGTGCTACACGGAAGAGGTCTGTCACTCTCCATGAGGCCCCCCCGTCTCTACTGATGGATAGATTGGCATTTCAACCACTACTTGATATCACATGAGCGTCCCTGAGGTTGTCAAACTCGAGACGTGTATGTCACAAGAATTACAAGTCTTAAGATGCAAATAAAAATATGAGGGGATTTACGAATGGCATTGTTGGTAGCTGATTAGAGATGAAGGACGTGTTGGCCTTTTCACGCTGTTTTGGAGAAATGCGTGTAAACTGAAGCTTTAGTTGGAAGCACAAGATGGGGAGAAAAACCAGCAAAACAAGGACAGCACAGGCTTCAAATTCCCCAAATAAACAAACTGTTTACTTGAGCTAGTTTTAATTAACTGATAATATTCACTATGTATCCCCATCCTTCCCCACATGCCCGGTTTTTCCTATGCCTTTGGGATTTTAAAAGTTTGCCATTTGTGTTTGGCGCTTTTCATTCTACCAGTCAGTGTGATTTAAAGAAAGTTCTGAAATCAATACAACATCATTCACAATGGCTGAACGCTTGAGGCAGAACACGAATGCAGCTCCAATGGAAAAGTTGATGCTCGCTTCAAGGCAAACTCATATTTTCAACAAAAAAATACACTCAGTCCTTTAGTTGAAGAAGATGTATTATAGGCACAAAATGTAGTTGCAAGGCTATCAGAAGAATGTTATTTAGAAAAAAAAGTTAACATCCTCAAACTTTTCCATGTCACTGACCTGTCCCAGCAGCTCGGGCAGCCCCAGCACCTGTCCCGTGAAAACGCCGAAGCAGATCAGGATGGCGTTGAACTGGCCAATGGATCCTCGGATATGTCTCGGCGTAATTTCTCCCAGGTACATTGGGAGGGCGCAGAGAGCTATACCTGTCGAGAAAACAATAAGATATTGTTTTCAAAAGATCAAGACCTATGTTTAATATGATACCGATCAAATTATAGAGGGAACATCACACCTTACGTGATACCGCTCCTCAAGTGGCTGCTATGAATAGGTAGAGCTGAAGGAACAAATATCCCTACTTATTGTTCCTTTAATCTTGATAATATGTCCAAATTGTTTCTGAATCTGTTATGTGTTACTATAGAAATACAAAGACATTGGCAACTACTTCAACTCCACTTTGACAGTAGGAAGCAATTGTTGTAATTGGAGAAATGCTGAACTTTCCTCAATCGTGTGGCAATGTTATGGGTACTTATGTAGATGGCCTATGCATTAAAAATGGGGGTATCTGCATATAATAAGGATATTTCTTCAAGTGAGAGTGCTGAGTAGGAATTTGTTCCTGAGGCCTTTAACACTAAGGTCTCAAACTCGCTTGATGGGTTCCACTTGTTTAATGGTAAGATGAGACAAGCGGTTTGTGGGGAGTATTATTCAAGTGCAAAATGGATACACACTGCTTCAATATAATACAATACCCAAAAGGCAGAGTTATAATTAACATACTGTACAATACACACAGTAAAAGATAAGACGTACAAAATTGCACAGGCCTTGTTTTCTGAGAGGCTTGTCTGGAGTTGAGGACTTGTCAGACTTGCAAATGAGGTGTAAATATCACACTCACACGTACTCACTTTCTATCAGAAGCTGGTCAAAGTGAAGCACTGTCTGACAACAATTTGATCTCCTGATAATGTGTGTCTGCAGGTGACGCAACCCACCATCACAGTGATAATTGAGTGCTGATGTAAAGCTCCTTCTTAATAATCTCAGGAGGGAAAGTTAAATTAAAACTGTAATCAAGGTTTTACTGACAGCTGTGTGTATTAGTTAACCACCATCAATATCTGTCATTTCCCATAGATCTTCTTCCTTCGGGCGGGCCTACACGCCTGGTTTTGATTGTTCTGATGTGCTTCTTGATCATTGCTCACTTAAAGGAAGTGAAGCATTTGATCTTATTTGAAGCTGCTGATGAAATGAAGTGGATAGTGTTTCTCTGAGGCAGAGTTCAGGTAAATGTGTGTTACTGTCAGCTGGGATCTAGTTATAAGCTCAAAGGGAATTCTGTTTGACGGTAAAGATGGTTCATATCTTTGATGAACAATGGGAAAATGGGTTAGTTATAGAAACACAAAACATTAATAATGACCAGGTGGTAGGTTTGACAATTAATGCATGTATGAGTATAAAGGTTGTATCCATTATGTGTTGTGCTACATCTTATTGTCAATCAGTTGTTTTTCTTATTAGTGGATTATGTGTATTAGGTAGTCATGTAGTGTATTTAAGTGTTCATTTAGTTATGAATGCATTCAAACAAAATAGTTTTTTTAATGTAAATAAGGAAATAAAAACAGATGGTTAAAGCCCGAAATTGACACCAGATGGACACACAATAAAGGAAATGTTCAAATTCGGCTCTGATCATAACAACATCGGGCCATTCGTGAGGGCATCTTAAGCCATCGTATGACCGCCGGTGGAGTTTCTCAGGCTCCGGCAGCAACTTCGTGAGCGGTGGCAAAATCTTTGGCATGCCAAAAAATTTCCGAAGGACCTTGCGAAGGTTCATTTTCGAGTTTAATTCGTGTGTCCATTTTGCCCTTCGTAAGGCACTCGTGAGGGCATCTTGTCAAATCATCGTCTGATCATCGGTGCCATCGGGCATTTTTCGCCCCGATGGCACCGATGATCAATTTTTTGGCATGCCAAAGATTTTGCCACCGGCTCAAGATGCCCTCACGAATGGCCCGATGTTACGATCAGAGCCGAATTTGAACATTTCCTTTATCGTGTGTCCATCTGGTTATTTTATTGCACAACAAAATCATGTAAACATATTATGTAAATAACCCAATTTGTGTTCTGTGAAACTGAAAAGGATATTACATTGTTTTGGTTACCTTGGCTGGTGATTGGCTAATGGTTACACAAGCCAAAAAAGCATTATGACATCATAAAGTGGCCAAAATCTGATCAGCTCATATTCAGACAGGTTTTTATATAAATGGATCAGGACAAAAAGTGAGCGAAACCTTTTTCCTGAAACGTTCAGAATCTCTTTACACAGAGGGGACAAATGTTTATGTATAAAAGACATGAAAAAGTGGATTTTGCATAATAGGTGACCTTTAAAATTGTGAATCCTCCTTGTGATTTGAATCCAAAATGTGATGGATTATCCTTGAACCAAGTGTCCTGAAAATTAGGTCAGTATTTTTCTGTAATCCGGCTGACAAACAAACCAACGGGAAACAATACACTTCTAATCCTCCCTGCAGTAATTTGCTCTACACTGGCTGTAAACTGCCTGAGTTGTGAGTAGAAGCCATACTTTTCCAGCCCAGTAAACACTTACCACAGTCCACCCCGATAATGAACCGACCAATGATGAGCATCTCAAAAGATTTGGCACTTTCACCCAGGGACAGGAGCAGCACAGCTATTAGAGCGAAGATGTTATTCAGCAGCAAGGTTCCCTTTCTGAAGCCAGAGCAGAATATTGATTTTAAAAAGAGAGACACATCACATTCAGGCAGAGGATAAAATGATCCTACATAAATGTTTCATAAATCCTAATATCTGCACATTTATATTGTATTCATTTTAGTTTAATTGTAGAAATGTGCAAATTAATTACTTGTGATATAACTTATTTAAAAAGCAGAACCACAGCTAGCTTGTCTACATCCTGAAAAGTTGATTTAAAAAAATAATAGTATTAATAATAAATATGCTTTCTTAAAGGTAGGGTAGGTAAGTTTGAGAAACCGGCTTGAGATACACTTTTTGTTATATTCCATGGAATGCTCTTAACATCCCGATAGCAATGAATATCTTAAGTGCTTTGACAAAGAATCCATAAAAAAAATGTCATCTGTGGAAGCCGTAGTACTGTAAAAAGCACGACCAATCATTTTAGCCGGCCCGGCTAAAATAACTGGATGGCCTACCTGCCTGTCAGCCTTCCATCTGTGCACAAACTTATCTCGTGCCCTCATTGGTCATGTGTGCGTTCGTGTGTGTTGGAGGAGGGGCTCTGTAAGGAAGTGGCAGATTTTCTCCGGTTGTGTATTTTCAAATTCTAGCGATCTCGAGCTGGTTTCTCAAACTTACCTACCCTACCAATGCAATAAAAAAAAAGAACTTAAAACTGTAGCTTTGCAAGATTGGAAAAACTAAACCCAGAGACATTACATTTTCTTGAAAGCGTTCCTATAAAAAAAGGTTTAAGGAAGGGACATTTGAACATGGTGTTGGAAGCAAAAACCATTTGATCTTGAAGATGATAAGGAGAGGAGTTTAAAGAGGCGTACTACTCTTTATAGCCAGCAAAGAAGAAAGAAAGAAATCGATGTGTAATCTTCAAGGAGGCTGCTGATGACTGGTCAAGCTTCAGGTGACATTTGTGAGGAAAACCAACTAGTGCATGATCAAAACTAAAATATATTTTAATACATATTAAGGACATATTATACTAATTTTCAGGTTAATATTTGTATTTTGTGCCTCTACTGTGACATGTTTACATGCTTTAATGTTCAAAAGGCTCTTTATTTTACTCATACTGCCTGTGCTGCAGCACCTCTTTTCACCCTCTGTCTGAAACCAGAGCCCAGTCTGCGCTGATTGGTTAGCTGGCCGGCTCTGTTATGATTGGTCAACCGCTTAGAGATGTCCTGCCCCTTAGCCCATCACATACAAGGTGTTGGAGTGCTAGCCAATAGAAGCGCAAATGTTACATATTGATGTCACTATATGTTGCCGAAGTAATCAAAGGAGGCGTTTCAGGCAGGAGGGGGACATTTTGGATTTTAGCCTTTACAGACCATTTACATGCACAGAAACCTATATAACACACTACAGGAAAGGAAAAACAAAAAGCCATAATAGGGCCTCTTTAATGAAAGTCATTCTTGGGTCAGAATCCTTAGTCCGGCAGTGGCTCAGTCAGTAGGGGCTTGGACTGTGAGCCGTAGGGTCGCTGGTTCAAGTCCCCGACCAGACCTAAATATGGAGTGTGGACTTCTACTTGGAGAGGTCCCAGTTCACCTCCTGCCCTGCCGTGGTGCCCTTGAGCAAGGCACCGGACACCCCCCTTCCCCCCCCACTCCCATTGCTCCCCGGGCGCTGTACAATAGCTGCCCACTGCTCCTAGTACTAGACTCCTTGTACTAGGATGGGTTAAAAGCAGAGGCCAAATTTCACTGTGTGTGCTGTGTGCTCTGCATGTGTGACCATTAAAGAGGGTTTCATCCCTCCCTATTCTATTATACCAAATGAATCCTGAATCAATAGGAGTGGCAGTGAGTCAACTCACCTTCCCAGTATTTTGAGGATCAAGGTGACAGACACGGCTCCGAGGAGGCCTCCGATAGAAAATATGGACACAGTGACGGACCAGAGGAGGGTGGCGGTCTCCGCTCCGAGGGGCTCCCCATACCTCTCCATCCATGTCCTGTTGTAGAAAGCTTTAATGTACTGCAATACAAGAGACACATGGGAAGCAGACATGGGTCAAGTCCATTGTTCATTTTAAACAAAAATGATTACACCTAATTTTTAGAAGCCTTCTCACCTCCCCTACCATACATATTTATTTGGAAAAGCACACTTTCATTTTTGAAGTTTTCTGGGCATTTAGTTTATGTTTCATGTTTTTTAAGCTGGTAATATTTCTGTTTAATACAACAACTCTCTTAAATGATAGATATGTTAATAATATATATAATAATGTATACTTCCTGATTAGTCTCTGGGTCCCTATTCTAAAGTTTGGGTAGCTTATTTGGTTGTCCCATTTCACATACTTCCATTATATCTTATGCTTGTCCTTGTATTTGAAACTGTGAATGCAATGAATTGAATAGTTAATTCCACTAATACATCACATGTCATGTATTCAAGGACTGCATTTAATGAGAATAACGAAGTAAAGTTTCACTGAGTGAAAGAAATGGGGGCTTTCACCGAAGGGTCCTTCAAGACACTGTCAGCACAAAAGCAGACGGAACAAAAAACCTTGTGTTTTTATTTCATCCCGCATTTCACATTTGAAAGAGCCGTTGTGTTGTGTTTGCTGCCAGTTAATGGTTATAAAACAAAAATAGGTGACAATGTTCATTTCTCTTCCATAGGCTGTCCTCGCAAACTTCAGGCAGAACAACTCTCACAACGAGTTACTAGCTTTGTCAGCATTAGACAAACACATATATTTTGATATGACCTCTGAATGCACCATTATCCTTTATTTTATTGAGATATAAAGAAAGGGCTACATTTTAGATCTTTTAATCTCTCTTGTACATTATGTTCATTAAACTTCAGGCTGCCGACTTGACACATGAAACCCTTTCATAATTAACTAGCTTCTGACTTGGCGGCTGAGTTCAGCCACGCTTCATTCTAATTCCCTGTTTTACAGCAATAACCATGCCATGTACAACATGTCAAAATGGCAATCTAGGTTTTTACTTTAATAACTAAATCCATCCATCCATCTTCTTCCGCTTATCCGTGGTCGGGTCGCAGAGGTAGCAGTTCCAGCAGAGAGCCCCAAACTTTCCTTTCCCTGGCCACATCAACCAACTCTGACTGGGGGATCCCAAGGCGCTCCCAGGCCAGTGAAGAGATATAATCCCTCCACCTGGTCCTAGGTCTACCCCTTGGTCTCTTCCCAGCTGGACGTGCCTGGCCCAGGTGGCATCCTTACTAGGTGCCCGAACCACCTCAACTGGCTCATTTCGACGCGAAGGAGAAGCGGTTCAACTCCGAGTCCCTCCCGGATGACTGAACTTCTCACCTTATCCCTAAGGGAGACGCCAGCCACCCTGCGGAGAAAACCCATCTCGGCCGCTTGTATCCGCGATCTCGTTCTTTCGGTCATGACCCATCCTTCATGACCATAGGTGAGGGTAGGAACGAAAATGACCCGGTAGACAGAGAGCTTTGCCTTCTGGCTCAGCTCTCTTTTCTTCACAATGGTGCGGTAAAGCGACTGCAGTACCGCTCCCGCTGCTCCGATTCTCCGGCCCATCTCATGCTCCATTGTTCCCTCACTCGAGAACAAGACCCTGAGATACTTGAACTCCTTCACTTGGGGTAAGGACTCATTCCCTACTTGGAGTGGACAGTCCATCGGTTTCCTGCTGAGAACCATGGCCTCAGATTTGGAGGTGCTGATCCTCATCCCAGCCGCTTCACACTCGGTTGCGAACCGATCCAGTGAGTGCTGAAGGTCGCAGACCGATGAAGCCATTAGAACCACATCATCTGCAAAAAGCAGTGGTGCAATCCTTAGTCCAGGGCGGAGTTGTCGGGTTCAGGAGTTCCTCAAAGTGTTCCTTCCAACGCCCTAACACTCCATCATTTGAGGTCAACAACGTCCCATCCTTACTGTACACAGCTTGGATGGTTCCCTGCTTCCCCATCTTGAGGTGTCGGACAGTTTTCCAGAACAACTTTGGTGCCGCCCGAAAGTCCTTTTCCATGTCTTCTCCGAACTTCTCCCACACCCGCTGCTTTGCCTCGGCCACAGCTGAGGCTGCTGCCCTTCGGGCCTGTCGGTACCTTGCGACTGCCTCGGGAGTCCCCCGGGATAACAAATCCCTGAAGGCCTCCTCAGTCGGACGGCTTCCCTGACCACCGGTGTCCACCAGAGGTTCGAGGGTTACCGCCCCTTGAGGCACCCAAGACCTTGAGACCACAGCTCCCCACCGCGGCTTCGGCAATAGAGGTTTTGAACACCGCCCACTCTGGTTCAATGTCCCCAACCTCCACAGGAATGCCCGAAAAGTTCCGCCGGAGGTGTGAGTTGAAGGCCTCCTGAATTTATTTAATATTTAAGAAATATGTTGTACATGCTTTTAACATGTGTTTTTCATTTAATTAAATTACTAATAATTACTGACATAACTTTAAATATGATGTATAGTTTCCTAAACTAGTAACTTCTAAACTTTGTTCCCTTTCCTCTGCTGTCACATTAATACTTTCCCTGTTTCGTCAGGTACATGTTCACCAACAGTATGGACTTGTGAACCTTGTGCCTCGAATTCCATCAACTTCCCACTGAAATGCATTGGATTTAAAAATGAGGAGGATGTGAATACGATTTTTTTTTGTAAGAAGGCAGAAATTATGCTTCTACTCACTCATAAATCACACAGAGTTCACCGTCTGATCACATCTTTGATGTGCGAGAGACTACGAGTTAATTAGAAATTAATGGCCATGCATTTTTTAACAATCCATTTAACACACACACACACCACACACACAACACAAAACACCCACACACACACACACACACACACACACACACACACACACACACACACACACACACACACACACACACACACACACACACACACACACACACACACACACACACACACACACACACACACACACACACACACACACACACACACACACACACACACACACACACACACACACACACACACACACACACACACACACACACACACGACACACACACACACACACACACACACACACCACACACACACACACACACACACACACACACACACACACACACACACACACACACACACACACACACACACACACACACACACACACACACACACACACACACACACACACACACACACACACACACACACACACACACACACACACACACACACACACACACACACACACACACACACACACACACACACACACACACACACACACACACACACACACACACACACACACACACACACACACACACACACACACACTTTAGTTTTTGGAATATAAAGAGATAATATCAGTGCTTGACAGTGATCAAGGTTTTCATATCAAATCTGCAGAGAATAACAACAGGGAACACTGCATATCCCTCTCTGACCTGGTGGTTGGAGTTAAATTAATTAGCAACCAAATTCAGTACTCTGGACACGCATGATGTCGTCTTTGGGGATCTCACATAACTTTTCATTTTGGCTGATTTCCCAAACGGCCAGGGGAGTAGATAATAAATTACTATAAGTACATTTTTTCGTACCATTTCCATCTGAGCTGCTCAACATGTTAGTGGCTCTCTGGAGGCACACCTGCTGCTGTGCCTGGGGGAAACTAAATGTTGGTTGACCTGCATCGTGTGGATTTGCTATTGTGATTTTAGGGGATAGTTATAACAGGGGTGGATTAAGCTTTCAGGCAAATTTACAGCACTTATCTTTTTTGTAATAATCATGTCATTTCGGTGAGCCAGTCTTTTTCAGAAAAAAGGTTTGAGAGCGTACAGTCGGTTATTTTCATTTCAATGTGTTTGCCAAACGAACAGTAGAAGAGAGGATATTGCCAGTTGATTTATGTATCACATTTATAAAGACAGAGGGAGACATGTTGGATAAGAGCCACTTAGTGATCAGCAGGTGCTCGAGGTGAGGAGAAGCTACAAAGAGAATAAAATAAAAGCAACAGCTCATCATATCAACTGGAGAATTGGTGCATTGACAGAAGCAGATTATTGACAGGAACTACTGAGTAAGCAAAGATCAGCTTGATCAGCTTGATCAAATTAGCACGTACAGACAACAGTGGAGGTTTCTAGTTTTACGAAAAAAAGCATGCCATTTATTGTGAATGTCCTTCCATATGAAACCTGATGTATGGCAAACATACTGAAGCTGCAGCACTTTTCTCCTAATGGAAGTGTTTCGGGCTGTCGTAATGTGTTTGCACCTGTCAGCCATCGTACAAACAACATGAATACAATGAATAAGAAGCTACCTGAAAATATACCATCTGAAAAGTGGCATTTCAGCAAAGATAGAGGAGATGCTCAGGCAAGAAGAGGCTGGTTCCAACTTAAATGGCTATTTAGATCTATATATCTACTCATTAATTTGAGTATATACTGTTTTTTTAACTAAATACAAATCTGTACATTTGACAGTGTATTGATCAATGAAAATGATCCATGGTTACACATCAAATTGAGAAAAGAAATAACAGTGTCTTCAGTGACCATTTTTGTGGGGAAACACTTCTTAATCTGAAGGTTTGAAGGACAGCTGTTAACATTATCTGTAAGACTTTTATGGAGGCAGAAATGAGGCCCATGTTTTGAGGGATCAGGCTATTGTAAGAGCAGAAAGAGAAGTGAAGCTGTGTGATGGAGGAGCGTGAGAGTCAGCCCTTCAGGTGTGAATACAAGCCGTCTGATTCAGTGTCTAATAAAGCCCTCCTGTGAAGAGTTAAGAATAGACAGAGCTGAGACATTTATCGTATATTAAAGCTTTTATTAGAGCAATGTCGAGTACACCTGCTGCAAAGCCACTATTTCAAGTATACTACGTTATCGAGTGGCGCCGAATGCTGGGCATTTAACATGCATTTAAACAGTCCTTCGGTGCCACTCGATGACGTAGTATACTTGAAGGTAGTATGGCAGGCTGTGGCTCAGTGGAATAGTGCGCTGAACTTAGTGCGCTGAACTTTGAATCAGGGGATAGCAAGTTCGAGTCCCACTGCAGTCAGCATGTCGTTGTGTCCCTGGGCAAGTCACTTCACCCCAAATTGCTCCTGTGGGGATTGTCCACAGTACTGAATGTATGTAAGTCGCTTTGGATAAAAGCGTCTAACAAATGACATGTAATAATGTAATAAAATAGTGACTCTGCAGCAGGTTTACTCGACATTGAGAAACGGCCTTGGTGTGTCCGTATGGTGATGGCAGACTTATTTATAGACCTTTCTTGTGATCTTTTTCTGACGTTCATCTGTTGATAGGAGTCAGCCCGACAATACATAATGGGCATCACAATCATTTTAATTGTAATGGTCCTCTACATTTGATCTGTAAACTGTGAAGCACAGCGTTACTGAAGTGATCCTGGAGATCACACTTTTACCAATTAGACTCAGGTCTTTCATCCTCCTATTGCGCACTGAATTGACCAATCACAGCTATGCTTGTGATGTGCGCTTCACTCAAATCGTAAATAGCAGTCTATGGTAGATAGAGCACCTAATTAAACAGGAACCCTGCTGTTCTGGGATCAGTAGTAAAGGTTTCCTCTTTAAACCTTTGTGCCACTGTTGTCAGCACATTAAAGCAGCGGGGTTCAAGCTGTAAGCCTTTTACATATTTATCCCTTGGAACATTTGGTGTTACTGTGGGATCACACAGCAAATGAATCAATAAATAAAAAACCCTCCAGCGTTATGTATTTAGGAAAAATCATGGCACAGCATAAGCATGTTTTCCATTAACCTCTTATATAGTTTTTAAAAAGAGCCCATAGAGACCTTTCTACTTTCTCTTATTTTCAAATGAGGTTACAATATGTTGAGCCATACAGGAGGAGTGGTCTAAGAAACATATCTACAATGTTGCATTCATTGCAGGGTTAGGAACATAATTTAAAACCCTCTTTTAGTCACTTGGAGAATGTCCAATTGGCAATATGCCAAGAAAGAAAAAACAAATGAAACTTTGAAAAGAAGAAATGTTTCTTAATCAGTTTCTTGAATCTCTCAGATTAAGCAGATAATTCTCCATGTGCTCATTAATATGAGACTCCTCACATATTATTATATAAACTGGTATTAGTGGCTTTAAGGCTTTCAATTTCCAAATTCCATATAATATGATAAATTACGACGTGCCTAATGTTCCTGAATGTTTTCAGAAAACATACCCTGAACTTTTCCTCTGTTTTATATTGTTTGCATGTATCGTTATCAAGGCCGGACTGTTCATATTTACTCTCAAAACCACTGAATCATCAGGACTTTAGACAGGAAACATACAGGCTCTGCTTCAGTGTTTTCAGATTAAATGTGTTTTCTGTATTTGGTGCAACATTTAAAGTACTTGGCAATACCAGAGCTGAGGGTTGTTTGGGTTATAATACTTATTATACCTGGTTGGCTTCCGATTTCCTCATAACAAGTAATCCAAAGTGGCCATGCTTCACTGGACACGTATATTGAAGCTATTAAAGAAATGTAATTTCAGTTTTTACAGTCTATGAAAAATGTTTTGTAGTGTAGTACAAGCAATGTTTTTTGTGCCAATTGTCTCCATGCCTGTCTATTTTTATTTTTATGACCCTATAACATAAAGCGTGTTGGAGCACTAGCCAATAGAAGTGTGAGTGTTACATAATGATTTCATTATGTTACGGAAGTAAACAAAGGAGTAAAATCGAGGTGTTTCAGGCAGGGAAACACACTACAAGAAGGAGAAAACCCCCAAAAAGCATAATAAGGCCCCTTTAATAAGACTGATGCCTTTGGTCTTATTGGTTTTTGTTTAATGTGTGTTTGAAAAACTGTGAGAGACGGTGCAACCATAGACAAGATAACTCTTAACAAAATAAATGTTCATTGATTTCTACTGTTGGGGAATAATTTGCCCTGCATGTCCTCCTTCGCCCTCTGACGCAGATGCCCAGCCTTGAGCAGCCGTTATCTCCCTTAAGGAGGGGCTGCCCTAGCATTTTGTTGTTGTTACCAGTTTATGACCGGGCAACTCACGGTTAGAGATAGTTATTGTTGTGGGTGGAAAACTTCCTTCTCGGGGTGTAGATGACCTCGAGCCATAAGCGACAACAACTGTGATTCAGTGTCCCTCAGCTGTTTAGTCTATCTATTGAGGAATGTTGATTATTACACTCTGAACTAGTTCAAACCTGGAACTACAGGAGGGTTCTTCAGAATTTATTGTGGCATCTCAACCGTGTGGTCAACTCTTTGCCCGTGACATGTCTTGTGAATTCTCCGGCCGAAGCTCCAAATAAACCATCAGTGTTTGCCATCAAAGCTCCAGCTCTCCTCGTGTCTCTCTGAGTCCTGACTCCAATTGCTTCAGATGTTTCCCCCACATCTGCTAGTACAAACAAAGGGAGTGAAACCATGTTGCTTCTAAGCAAGCAGGCAACAGTATGCAACAGTTTGACTCACCAAAGCAGGAGCGTTGACCACGGAGAGGTTGTAGCCGTAAATGAAAGATGACCCCAGGGCCCCGAAGAAGGCTGCGCTGAACAGACACGCTGTGACTGGCTGCTGGAGAGAGAGCACACAAAACACACTGAGAATACAAACATGAACATGTAAGAGGCCATGGTCAGACACATTGTTTTTGATAAATGTCAAGTTCGGAACAAAAACAAGGGAATTCAGCAGAGGACGCTTCGAAAAGGCCTTGGTATCCAGTCCAGGATAAACTGGGATATTCCCTTGAGAATGTCACTGCTTTAACAACATGTGTGCAAGGATTGACATTGGCTGAGCAAAGAAAGACCACTGAATGAAAATGCAGCAGTTATACGAGCCCTGTAATTAAGTGAGAAATGAACTGCACATGCTGCATCAAAAATGAATGAGTGAACAAGTCATAGGCCTAATATTAGATTTAAATTATGCTGTGGTTAGGTAGTGCAGGTATAAAAAATTAATCATAGCAAGACTGAAAAAGTGTTAAGGCCCACAAGCGGTTCATTAAAACCTATTGTACATAAGAGCAAGACAGAGCAAAAACCATAAGGGAAATGTTGCTACTCGAGGAACCTCATTACATTTTGAGCTAAACCCATGAAAGGCTCACGCAAACGAGAAAAGGCCACAATGTCATGAAATTCAAGACATATCCTTTGAGAGGATGAACATGTAATGGAACTGTGACAATTAGACAATGAGAGCCCATGAGCATGTTGACATTTAGGCCAGAAGATAGTGCAGAGAATTAATGTAATAGGGTCATACTGTACGTTGGGAAGATTGGATGCGTTGTGATTTTGATGGTCATTTTTCGATTACATTTAAATGTGTTGTCACCATGACCCGTTGTTTTGTCGAAACAGCCTTGAGTTTGGCATTTGGCCAGAGCCATCTTGTTTTTATGGAACCATAAGTGACACAAAAGGTTGGCACTAAGTACAACTTAACGCAGAAAGACATTTTTTAGGTGAACAAATGTTGTAACTTTCACAAAGTGGGACTCATAATAGCAAAACTTACAAAGAGTTTACTATGCTCTATTGAAGAAGACTTGAAACTGAGGACTAAAGTAAGAATTGAAGTGAATAAAGTAGGGTCATTTTCTCATAGACTTCTATACAATCAGATTTTTTATTTTTTACTATACATCAGTAGAGTCGCCCTCTGCTGGATGTTAAAGAAAACTACGATTTTTAATTCTCTTTTCACAGATGACACATTTTTCTGTTTTATCAACAGCCTTCTCCCACTCCTTGCCTTTTTATGGGGATAGCAATGTCAGCCCATCACTCCTAAAGGTTGCAAGGTTAAGGATGAGAGCACACAGTGATGCGCACAATATATTATCTGCTTTAATGTTGTGTAGCAAAGTCAAAGAAAGTACAGTTAATTGAAAGAGTCTCCCTGTCCACTTATTCAAATTTATGATCGGATGATATTGCCATCAGCATTAAGTTATTAAATATAATGTTGTAAATTACTAAATAAGGCATTAAAGGCTATGTGAGCATGCCAGTTTAGCTAGTGGCATTTACTCCATGTACTGTAGCTTTAAAAAATGTGATTGTATCTGTTAAATGAATAGTCAAGGTAAAAGGAAACATCTGAGTAAAAATAGCAGGTAGTGGCTCCAAGGCCAAACAGAGGTGTACAGCCTGTAACTTCGTAAAACTTGAAGTTATTTTAGCAGGGTGTCTGCACTAATTATAACAGTGAGTAAACTTGGAAGACACATTCAAAGTTAGTGCCTTGAGAGTAGTGCTACATAGGTGTGTTAAATAAATGTTTTCTCTGCACATATGGTATATCTTCATCCCTTTACACAATGCAATAACTCACTTATAATATTATGCACTCATGTGTCTCGGCAGAGTTCTTCCCCAGTATAGTCCTACTTTCCTATTTGCATATACCATCAAAGGAGGCATATTCAACAAAATATCTCCACACACACATTCTGCATAATAATTGATTCCAGAATAAGTTGTATTGAAGTGTGATCTTACAGAAAAAGGAGGTTGGAGCAAGTCTATGGCATTGATAGACTATTCAAAATGTATCAATTTGAAAGGTGTATGAAGTGATGAAATAAATGCTTTTGCTTTGTAGGACCGAGCCCATTATAGATACATGTTAGAGGGCAGAGGCGCTGGCTCAGTATTTGCCAGTGTTTGAAATCTGTACTCACTGATTGATATGAAACAAAAATTGGTAGACTGAACCCTTTCATCTGTTCATAATCGAGTAGACTCTAAATGACACACTATACAATTCATTGTAATCATATATGCACAAAAGATTTGCCACAATACACCCACATATTGCCCTCAAAGTGTTGTAACTCAAAGCCAGCCATACACAAACGAGTCATATTTTGATAATCTTATCCGGGCCTCATAACTTTTTCAGGGGATGCTCAAAGGACGCTAGAGAATACATTTATATTTCAAAAGAAGATCACAAAGAATAGCCTTTAGGTGTGTGATTAGGTTTAGAGTGCTAGTTCAGATATCTAGTAGTTTTAGGGAGTTTCACTGCCAGAAACTGATATGTGAAGACAGATCATTTTTATACCTTTGATTGAGTCCGAAGTTATGTCAAACCAAAATATTTCAATCAGGAGAGACTTATTTTGGCTTAAAAAACATTAATTGACGTGTGCACGAGATAAAAGACATTGAAAATCTTTAAAGATTTCACTCCATGGTGATATTGGGGATCTTAAGGTGGAGGTGCAGCTGTCTAAACGCCGGCAGGGAGGTTGATGGGATGAAGAAGAGCTAAACATCTGGATTTGATGAGATGGCGTAACTATGATTGATGGTGCAACATAGCTTTGGACTGAAAGAAGTTGAACTCAAGTATGACCTTGGGTGACTGCGGCTGTGAGGTGGAGCGGTCGTCTAACAATTAGAAAGTTGGTAGTTCGATTCCAGCTTCTACTGTCAACATGTCGAAGTATCCTTGGGTACTTAACCCCGAGCTGCTGCATATGGCATGGCCAATAATTAGTATAACTAACTACACCTTGTATAACTACTTGAATAACTATGCATGATATTGATATTGAAGTGACTGTTATTTTGTATATATTGATTGTTGTGTTTTTTATCTTAATGTGTGCATATGTGTAAATGTGTCTGTTGATTGTGTATATAGGATATACATATTTTTATACATATCTGTATATTGTATCGTTTTATTTTCGTATTCGGGATTGTTGGACACGTCATTTCGATCTCTCTGTCTGTACACACAAACTGAAAGATTGACATTGACTTTGACTTTGACATATATGAATGTAGTTACTAAATAAAACCTTCTGCATAATAGTTAAACTGGTTTAAATGCATACAGTTCATTAGTCCACAACACCTACTGTAATACAATAGTGTTGCTGCGTCTGCCTGATTCTTAAGATGGCAGTAACTGGATGAATTGTCATACTTCGCTAAGAACTTCAGTTTTCTTGGCAGGTCTCTATCCTGGAGGATCGTACTTTGGAAATCAGGAAATGTGTTATCTTTGAGGTGAGGTTTATCGCTGGTTACTAGTAGGCTGTTTATAAAACTGACATTGCCCTGGCAGCGTGATCAAAGTTATAGCTCTAATGTTTGCATAATAGTTAAACTGGTTTAAATGCATACAGTTCATTAGTCCACAACACCTACTGTAATACAATAGTGTTGCTGCGTCTGCCTGATTCTTAAGATGGCAGTAACTGGATGAATTTTCATACTTCGCTAAGAACTTCAGTTTTCTTGGCAGGTCTCTATCCTGGAGGATCGTACTTTGGAAAACAGGAAATGTGTTATCTTTGAGGTGAGGTTTATTGCTGGTTACTAGTTGGCTGTTGATAAAACTGACATTGCCCTGGCAGCGTGATCAAAGTTATAGCTCTAATGTTTATGTAGCCAGCGGTAGAGAGGAAAGGAGATCAAGTGAGTGGTGTACAGTTCATATTTCTTTCAGAAAAGTTATCTGTAACACATTAATAGAACCTAATAAACATGTTTCTTAAAAGTGATTTTCCTCTACGATGTTTCTGTGTGAAAATACTTGTAATAAATCGTATTAACACAATGTGGACACATGCAGGGAATTCTGAATAACTAATGTTTTATGATCACCAGGATATAGGCATGTGTAAAAATGTAATTAAAGTTAATGATCAAAGACTTTTGTTTGTCTCTTTGTTTTAAATCGGTTTTACTTTGTAGTACTATAACTTTCCCGAACTGAATCCCTACTTTTCTATTTCATTTCTATTACTTAACATCAGTCAATCATTTTATAAACCTGGCAAATGTTACATCTTACATTTCAGTTTTTCTTTCTTAAAACACGAATAAGATATTGTAATTTTAGCAGTAAAGATTGCCTCTATTTCAGCGGCAGGTAAAAAGCTCAAATAGGGTTTTGGATAACAGCACAGACGTCTGTGTTTGACCATAACAAAGATCATGTAGAGAGCTGTGGCTTGCTCACAATGACACCCTGCATGTCCAATAACATATTAATGGGTTAAAGTATGACATAACAGCCAAATAACAAAAGCATGTCAAACAGCCATGACAAACCCATTCAGCCAGTGAACTTCTACAAAAGGTGTTGTTTGGTGGCTCATTGTATGATTACTGTATATTACATTACATGTTAGACGCTTTTATCCAAAGCGACTTACATACTCAATACTGTGGGCAATCCCCACAGGAGCAATTTGGGGTGAAGTGTCTTGCCCAGGGACACAACGACATGCTGACTGCAGTGGGGTTTGAACCTGTGCTCCCCTGATCCGAACACCAACGCTCTATCCACTGCGCCACACGCCTCCACGCCTTATATGTTGTATTATATGATTGAGTTATCCTAGTGAGTCACTCACCTGTTCAGAGTTCTTCCCAGAGTCCTTCATCTTCTGGTCTGCTGCCGGCTGATCCTTCTGCAGTTTGTCCATCCTAACGTTTCAGCAACCTAAAGGGAGAATGATCATTAGCTCATACAGAAAAGACATGTTTCACAACAAAGAGGGGGAAGTGGAACTTAAGAGTGAACCATCTGTTGAAGAGGAAAATACTATATTTGCTGACACACACATACGCATGCACAGAATTGTCACAACTTGTGATACATTTAGGAATAACCCAGAAGATCAATTCAACAGTAAAAACAGCTATCCAACAGGAAGAAATGACCTATTTACCTGCAGGACCTTGGCAGTTTGAATACTTAAGCCACAACACAGTGGATAATTCCACTATGGAGCAAATAAATAGCAAATTATAAGCCCGAGTCTGCCACCTTGTGGTTATATCAATATTAACAATCAGACATACTGGAAAGTCGACATAAAAATGCAGAAGTTGTATAAAATCTAAAGGTCTTCTTTCCTTCTGAGCTTGCAAGAGAAACGTGAATGCTGTAAAGAAGTGTTCACAGCCAAAACTCAGATTTTCAGGTATAAAAGCCCTTCTTGTTTTTACCAAGATAGCACTGCTACCTTTGAAGAAGGGTTTAACTAAAGCAGTGACTGAGATCAAATGTGAACTTTGTTCTATACAATCAGATTTTTTATTTTTTATTATACATCAGTAGAATCGCCCTCTGCTGGATGTTAAAGAAAACTACGATTTTTAATTCTCTTTTCACAGATGACTAATTGTTCTGTTTTATCAACAGGCTTCAACAACTCCGTGCATCCCTTTACACAATGCAATAACTCACTTATAATATTATGCACTCATGTGTCTCAGCAGAGTTCGTCCCCAGTATAGTCCTACTTTCCTATTTGCATATACCATCAAAGGAGGCATATTCACTAAGTATTACAACTAACCCCAATGACACACATTTCCTCTTTCTTACTCCTTTTTCCTCAGCATGCCCTGACAGTTACTGAGAAGTCTGATAGGGTTAAGTGAAAGACGATCCAGTCTGTCGCCAAAGAGAAAACCTAATCTATCTGCCGTGTCACATTGAGAAAGAAATTACAAAAACTCAGCGAAAGAGGATCGAAACAGCGGTTATCACAGCAGTGGAAAAAGTCTCCAATGAGCAGCAAGGACGAGTCTTCTTGAAGAGTTACTTTACTGGAGGAGAGGACTTGTACTTTGTACTTACTCTTTGTGGAGCACTGAGAATCTGAAGAAGGATAGTTAATTGGTTATTAGCACATTGACACGTCATTTTTTATGTGCATTTGTCAACTGCTGCATTTCTCAGTGTCCACTCTGCAGGGGGGGGGGGGGCTGCTTTTAATGTGACGGGTAAGAAAGGAAGAAGTGGATTTGGTATGCAACTCAAAATATTGAGATATTAAAAAAGTACAGTTTTTTTGCTGAATTGTGTTAATATACTTGAGAAAAATATTGCTATTTGTAGAAGGCAAGTAATGGCACAATTTTTCAAAATGTCAGAGCTCTAACACTCTCACTCAGTAAGTAAAAGGTGCTGAGACAGAAAGTGTTACAACTATTCCCGCTCTCCCCTAAATGGATACCTTCTGAACAAACAAGCATTAAAGGGTTTTAGACGTTACTGATTGAAGTCAGCGACCGGTAATACTGCTGATTTCCGCTCCTGCTGCACAGTTAATAACACTTGATGGGATTCGCTCAGCTGCAGAATGTTAATCAGAACCTGAATGGAGGACTCGGTTTCCTAAGGAGCTAAACTAAAAGCCTTGCCCTTGGAGTGAATTCATAAGACGTCTGAAGAGCTTCCCGTACAAAAATATCAGTTTGATTCAACCACCTCTTGGATATAATGGCATTTATTCCAATGTCAGTTCAAAATGTAATATTTCCAATTTAGCTTTCAGACACTTTTTACAGCTTTAATTGCGGTTATGCCAAATCAGTCAGTTTCAGTACATCAGGAACAAATTAGCAAAATAAATCATTGTTCATCTTCACAATTTGTCATCACTATTGAGGGTCGAAGCTTGATAGCTTATAATGAAATTCGACTTGAATTTGAAATAGTTTCAAAAACTCTGAACTCAAGGTCAACTGACTACAAGTAGAACTTTCTGTGGTACAACTGAGCCAATCGTGAAATGCAGTTGAATTCAGGATATTGTACCAATACCTCACACATTGGTTACAATAAACTACCTATACTGTAAATATCTAAAAAAAACACGCACTTACAGCTTTACAATTTAGTTGTGCATAAAAAGTCAATACTATAGTAGATGCACTGTGTGACTGAATCCCCAATACAAAAACAAACAAGTTTATCCATGTGCGCCATGAGTCCACCGTCTGGCTGATTGTGTAACATGCAGAGGAAATCAGGTTGGTTGGCTATCAGGAAGTTGTATTGACCTTCGGTGGCTGACAAAGTGACCTTCTCAGGCTGGAACAGCGTTAGCAAATTGGAATAAAATAAAGTCTCCCAATAGAGGTTGTTGCCAATGCTTTATAGTTTAGTCTGAACAAGGTATTGGTTAATGTCTTATATCAGTCTGATGCCGTTGGACATTCATTACAATAGTAGAACACATTTTATGTAAATACAGTATATTTACATAAGTATATTTTTACATTATCAGTTGAGAAGTGCTGAGAATCACTTTTCCCATCTGTGTAACGCAAGTTGTGTTTATATAGATGCTGGGGCTGAGTGATATGGTGGAAATCATTAAGACAATTTGACAGTGGTGTAAAGTAACTGTACATTTACTCAAGTACTGTACTTAAGTACAATTTTGAGGTACTTTACATGAGCAATTCCATGTTCTGCTACTTTTTACTTCATTACAATTCAAATCGTGTACTTTTACTCCAATGCATTTATTTAATACCTTTAGTTACTTTGCAGAATATAATCAACAATTAAGTAAGACTTTAGTTACACCTGGAGTAAATTCACAAGCTACTTTAAAGTAATTAAAACTAGCTGCACCTTTACCAGCACGAAACATGAATCTCACAACCAGTTAAATGCTAGAGACAATTATTTATTTTTTAAAGGTCACATATCCCACATGATTAAGTAAATAACATATATCTAAAGAAAGATTAAACCCACTTAAATTATAATACTGACAGATCATGACCCTAATGACAAAATAAATCAATGTGTTTCCACCTTTTTCCCCAGGCTGAATGGTAAGTACTTTGGGTAAACTCACCCACGCAGGCTGTGTATCCAATGCTTTCAGGACGACTACTGACCCGACAGTATAAACAGAAATGACCGTCATCTGTATCTGACAAATTATTAACTTTGATGAGTCACCCCATTCCCGGTCTGTCTTGGTAATATAATACTTGGGTCAGCAGAGTTGCGGTAAAAAGAAACATTAGCTATGTTTCTGTACTATTTGATAGCACTCTACTTTTAAAAAAAAAAACGTTGCTTTGTCAAGAGGCAGCTGAATGTCCTCTGACCAGCTGTAATTACAGAGGGTGAAAAGAGGTGCTGCAGCACAGGCAGTATGAGAAAAAATAAAGGCCTTTTTTTAACATTGAAATCTCAGTCAAGACTCATAACAAAACTTCTAATTAATGACTTCAATATTATCTGTCAAACTGAAGACCAGATTTTAGAAATGCTTGATATCCTGAGTTGTCCGAGAGCCCGGTTTAATTATTCTATTAGATTACCTACCTTGAACTGCAGCTAACATGAGTATAGTGTCATACTGCTAAAGCTGTTGGCAATATGTCCTTAGTTGAGCATGTCTTTATTCATAAACCTGTTGCATATACAGTAGCTTTCAGGGGCGCGGGAAGGGGGGTGCTGAGGGCGCTGCAGCAGCACCTAGCGACAGGCAGGCGGAGCGGAGCACCCCTGCCTGCAAATGTATTTTATTTTCATTTCATTGTGCCTGAGATTATATTTTATATTATATATTATTATTCAAATGATAATTTAAAACTATATAATACATTATTTTGCTTCAGGGAAGAAAAATAAAAAAAGATGTGGAAAAAAAGTTTGTTGTTAGTTTTTAGTCGGCTACTTTTAACGTGACGCACAACAACACAAGTAACTGACATGGCGCAAAAAAAAACACTAAATATGCTAAAAATATTGAATTAGAAGATGCAGGGGCAGGACATTTGTCTACCACCACCACAACAACCACCAACGAGCACCAGCCTCCTAGCAGCAGCACCGAGGAAACTGGAGCTAGCAGTTCGGCTAACGCTAGCCATGGCCACACACCAGGTGGTGCAGTTGACAAGCTAGACCCGACACCTAACGTTTTGGGGTTTGATGAGCCGTGTCGACCAGACATAAGTTTTCCTGCCAGAAAAATTGGGACAGAGACCTTCGAGCGGTCATTTCAGAAAAGCTGGTTTACCCGGTGGAAATGGGTGCATTATGTCACGGAGAAAGACACCGTTCTTTGCTTCACCTGCTGCAAAGCCATAGAGAAGGGCTTAAGACATGACAGAAAGACAAGTTCATTTACAGTAGGAGGCCACAAAGTTTAGCCAGCACGAGTTGTCTGACATTCACTCAGAATCGGAGAGAATGCTTGCTTCGCTGCTCAACACTCCCATTAATGCTCTACTGTCAGAGATTGTTGAGAAAGAGCAAACAATGGCCAGAACAGTCCTAGAGCTAATATTCAGATCAGTAAGATTCATCGGCAGCTTAGGACTATCATTAAGAGGCCATAACAATCGAGATGGGGTGCTATGGAAACTGATGATGGAGCGGACATTTACATTGCCAAAATGCCGGGAGTGGCTGCAGCGAAGAGACAACTGGATGTCCGACACAGTACAAAATGAAATACTGGAGATATTCGCCCATGCTGTTCAAAGAGAAATCGTGTCCGAAGCGAGAGAGCATTCTTTCTATGGTCTTACTGCAGATGCGACCACTGATATAAGTACATCAGAGCAATTTTCCATTACTTTGCAATACGTGGATTCAAAACTTGAGGCAGTGAATGCTTTCCTTGGATTTTACAGTGCACCTGATTCAACTGGAGAA